GTTTATTTGTGATTTATGTGTCAGGACACCAGGAAAGTACATTCTTGTTTGTGTCCACAAGTGGCTTTGTTTTTAATGTGTGGCTGTATTTTATGCCTTTCTGCAGGCTTGAATAAAATGCTTTTATTCATGTTTTTTTTGTCATAAGGCAAAAATAAGTTTATCACTAAAGGAAAATAAGTAAGATTTTTATTTTATTAATCTGAAGATACTTGAGTGATATTTTGAGTACTGTGAAAACATATTTAGAGGTGCAAGCATGCCTTAAGATGGGATCAGTAGAGATGTAAAAGCTGCTATATAATATTTTGCTTTAGTAGTAGATAGATATATTATTCCTTGTTTTCTAATGTGGACTGACAAATATAGGATGTTAGAAAAGTCAGGACAGTTGAACATTAGTGATCCACCTTTCTTAGCTGAAGTGTGGCCACGTTCACAGACACAGTAGCTAATGTTTACCTTGTGTAGTATTCCTCACGTATCTTACACAAGCTGCTTTATAAAATGAGCCTGGAACTTTTCATGCCTAATAGATTAAAATACCAGTTTCTCCTGATCGTTTTGTGGGAGAGGGAACTAGAAGACTCTTCACTCATAGGGATTGTGTCCTTACTGGTCATCCTGACTTTGAAAGCATCACTTTTCTCCATTATGGAAGTAGTTAACATGTATCTCAACAGATTTTTGAGACCTTTGCATGTGATTTGCTTACATCTCATTTTTACCAGTAACAAATTGAAAGAAGCTTTGTAATGTGCATTGCTAGTGTCTGTGGTTGAAAAAAGTTTGCAAACCCTAATTTAGTGGAGCCTGGACATTGACTGGTTGATCCTTGAGTAGCTGAACTAGTGAATGTGATTTACTGCGTTTATGATTATGGGCAGGAAAGATAGGTAAGATTTTTCTTTTACTCAGGAGTGTTATTTTTGTGCAGCCATATCTCTTGGCTGGATACACAGCAGCATGTCGCAGTGTGGGGGGTAACTGATCTGCTAGTATTAATTAAGGCCTAGATGATAACTTCTCCTTTCCCTAGTGAGCCCAATGTTTTGCATCTCTGTTTTTGGTCTTGCTACACATTTTTTTTTTTTTTTAAAGCTTCCAGTTGCTTAGTGTCTTTGAGACCCTTTAGTTTCCTGTGAAATGCAGTTCAAAAGTTACTGGGGAAAGGACAGAGCAGCCAGCCTCAAAAATAGTCAATCTCTCCTTGCCTCTTAAAAGTAATTGCTGGGAAGTAATGATAAACAACTGGCTTTTCTTGAAGCATTACCTGAATTTATTGCATGTTTAAAACTTTTGTCCGGTTTGTGGCCAGCCTCCCCAACTCGTGAGAAGGGCAGAAGAGTCACGGGGGCCTCGGGCCCGCAGGCAGCACCTTCCCTGGGTCCCGGCTGCGCGGAAGAGCTGAGCTGCCCCGGAGCGTGCGCGGCTGGGGAGCTTCGGCAGGGACTGTGTGGGTGCTCGTCCCGCGCTGCCGCGCTGCTTGGAGGGTTGTGAGTCATTGTGGGAGGCAGCCAGAGAGGCTCTTCCCCTTCCCTCTTCCCCACTGCAGTGGATCTCATTGATTCCCTTCAGTTTGCAAATCCCGGGAGGTGGCTCGGGAAGCATGTTCAATTCACGGTGAATTCCGACCGGCCCGCCTGTAGGACTGCAAGTTGAACATCATTGCTTCAGCATAAATCTTTACAAAAGATGTTAATGTCTGGTTAAAATATGCAAATATTTACTGACTTGTCTACTGTTTGTCAGCTTGGCATGCAAGACCTTGGATCTGATCCTTCTGTCTTGGCAGACATTGGGAATATTGCCAGTAACATTAATAGGAACAGCATTGTGCCCTCTAATCTGTTTGTTTATGAAGTACACAGAGAGTTATCTGGCTCGATTCTTTACAGTGAATAGAAAAAGCATCTGTTTGAAATTTTTTCGTAACTGTCACTTGCTTAACTTACCATTATCTTAACATACAGACCCTTTGGTTCTATAAAATCCATCTGTAAGCGGCGAAGCACAAAAGCGCACTGCTATGAGTTAAACTGCTCTGAAATACTTTGAGTTTAGTTCCTAATGTGCTCTCCTCCTACACTGATTTTTGGTTTGTAGTTGGACTAATCACACTGTAGAGTAATTCTTCAAAAGTCTCCAGTGCGCCAAGCAGGCGTGGTGTTTACTTAGAAATAAATGACTGCGCAGATCGCTCTCTTTATGGCTCTTCCTCCTCAAGCTGTCCATTTTGTTTGGGGATTAGATTCTAGTTGCTCTTTTTTATTTGTTTACAGAACCCATTGGAAAGAAGGAGAAATTCTCAGGAATACTGAGCCTGAAAATCATTAGTTGTAGGGGAAAAATCCCCCCCAGTACTTTGAAAAACAGGGTTTGAGTTACACTATTTAGAATTAACCAGATCTTTTAAATGATAGTGACCACAGCTACTTTGTGGAAGTTAAGCGGAGCATGATTTGGCCTTCAAATAAATGTAATATCCTTAAGTTTTCTGCTAAAGGAAGGAGGTTTTTGGAGGTATAAAGTAGAAAGCCAGGTTAGATCCCTGAATTATTGAGGAGAGTTGTGTAAACTTTTACATGCATCTCGATGAGATGCTTACTGTCATACCAGGTGGGTTTCACGTGAGCTATGTTACTCATGTATTATTTAAGTGGCTAAATTAGGAGCCTTCCTCTAGGTGCAGTGATGCTGCTGTGAGATAGTTGCAAACTAAGAAATGCTCTGAATTGAGCACTGCTGATGAAGGCACTGTTGATAATGCATAGTGCCTGGATTTCCAAGGTAGGCCCTCTGTCCACCTGCCTTAAATGAGTAATTTTAGATAGTGGGAATATATTTGTTTGCTCTTTCCAGAGGGAATTCTAAAGATGTATTCAACTTCGATGCTTTATTCCAATTGTTACTCAAGTCTGTGCTGCAGCCTTAGACTTAAAACTCAACATACAGTTCTCCAAGACATTTTTGAAGAGAAAAAAAATACATTTTTTCTTTACGTTCTTAGTATTTTGATCTCAGTTTTGTGGGTGGATTTTAAGTCACATTCACATCATCTAGTCCTGTTGCTAATTTTGGTGCAGCGTAGGGGGTTAGCATTAGGAGCAGGGGTTCCCAGGAGTCCTAAGGAAGAGCTGAGTGCCTCCAGGGAACAATGCAGAGCACCTGAAGCAGAGGCTAAGGCGGATGGTGCAACTATCCAGTGAATGTTCTCAAGCTGGTGCCCTGCACGTGTTTGTTTCTGTATGTACACGTAGGTATGGAGAAATCCGAGAGCCTGAATTTAGGGTTTTCTGCATGTTGTCCACGTGCGGTCTTTCTGTTATGACTAAATTCATTAAACAAATGACACTTGAGGGGCTCTGCCCACTGCTGTGTGGCATGCGCTGTGGCTTGGTGGGAGGAGAGCTACATGTTTAGCTTTATTTGGTTGGCCTGGCCGGGTCGGTCAGGAGGGATCTGCGTATAAACAGTGCTCCTGCAGGAGCTCCGCTCCGGCCTTCTCCTTCCAGAGGAATCTTGGTTATATGTCAGCCAGGAAGTGAGGAAATCCAAAGCACAGCAGAGTTCATGAGAGCCTCTCTTTTCAGTCCCTTAGGAGGAAGACAGAATGTTCAGGAGGAAAAACAGCAATTAATTAATTGCAGTTTATTATTGAAGTGAATTCTAGATTTGTAGAATTCATTGTGGCCTAAGAATTCAGCGAAATGGAGGTCAAATTTGATATTGAAATTCAAATTTTAAGACTAGAAGGAAACACATAGAACATTACAGCACGATACTATAAAGTCTATCCTATTTCTTGATTACATTTTTTTTGTTTTTTTACAGTAGATTGACTTAGACATGAGTTAATGAGAAGAATTGGGATAGTGGATTATTTTTTCTCATAAGGGAAGTATATCTATTTGACCTTAAAATTGGCTTATTGAAGTTACCTTATGTTAACCTGGTAAAATATTTACAGGTGTCAAATATAAAGGAATTTTTAACATGTGCTAGTTATTTTAGCTAATTATCACTGTTGATATGTAATAAAAATATTGATAATATGCTTCTTGTTAGAAATGCAACTGACAACTTAATTTTCCTCTTTCAGTTATCAGAGCTGATTTTTGTGTAGCCAGCTTTAAAGTAAAATGTCTCTAAAGCCTTATCATGTATATCCCTTCCAAAGAAGGGGTGATAATATAGAGGGAGATTATAGAAAGGTTTTGTTTTTGTATTGGTGAGCTAGGTTGTTGATAATTTTGTTGATTGTTTAAGTTTGTTGGCAGATAATGTTGCCCGTTTTGTGTAGATTTTAGCTGTAACTGTTTCAGGCTTTTCCCTCCAGTGTGTATACCTTATTCAGTTGGAGAAGCTACATGGACTTCATGGAGAAGCTGCAGCAGGGTGTTGGTGCGGGTGGGCCTTTCTCCAGCATCAGTGAGGCTAAAGCAGCGGAACGGGCAGGCGCTTGGCCGTCGAGCTCCCTTCCTCATCCTTAGCCATCCTCCTCCATCCGCACTGCACTTCGTGCACTGAACGCTGCCTCGCTCGCCTCGAGCACAGATGAGAAGGGCTGTGAGGAAAGAGGTGCCCTGCAGAAAAGGAGGGGGGACTCAGCGAGAGCAGCCCCTGCATGAGTTGTGTTGCTTCCAAAGCAAAGCTTGCACTGCCAGGGAAGACACAGAAGCCTCTATGCAGCAAAGTGCTTAAATCCACGCTGACTTTAAATCTTAAACCACTTCTTATATTCTTAAAATTAGTCACAGGCTTAAATATCTTCCTGAATTAGAGCCAAAACTGAGAGCCAGGAGTGATGTAAGTAGGAGCATGGAGAAAAAACATTGGGAAGAGGTTAGTTAGCAAGAAAGATGGGAAAAGAAATGGAAATGGCATAGGACGGAGGGGATGCGATAGAACACCTCGAGATGGGAGTGGAAGTTGGTTGGCAAGTTGTCACTGCCATTATGCAGCTAACCAACGTTTTATCGTCCCCTCTGCCCCCGCTCCAGGATTTCTGTCCCTGAGTCATGGCAGACAGAAGACCAGAGAAGGCATGTGAACAAGCATGTGAATCCCTTAAGCAGCAGGATTATGAAGTGGCAGTGAAGCTTTGCACAGAGGCTCTCCTTGCCCTGAGCCAGGCCCCCCCGGCGCAGCCCTCCCCGGCAGGCCAGGCACAAAGCGACCGCATCAAAATCGAGAGCCTGCTGTATAGAATTGCTTCCTTTTTACAACTTGTGAGTGTGACTCTTGAATAGTGTTAAGTGAACTGGAAAGAACAGTCAAATCTCCTTTACCGTCAAGATTGGAATAAAATCCAGCACCTTCCTGCAATTGGCATGTTGTTCCTCTGCAGAATCCTCCTCGCTGAAGAGTGTGAGACACTTGTGTCTTGCAGTGATTGCTCTGAGCAGTTGCATGGGTCTGTTTGGGACCGCTAAGTAATTTGGATCTGAGAAACAATTCTCTAAAATAAAAAAAATAGAGAAAAAATATTCCAGGAATAAAAATATCTCATTGTAGAGTCTTAAATTACGTTCTTTAAATTACGTACTGTTTTGCTATGTCTTTAAAGAGCATTCAATTAGGATAGCAAATCTAAACACTCCAAAAAAAAAAAAAAAAAGAGGAGGGTGCATTTATATTTAATTTAGCTGTCTTAGCATGGGTGTAACCATATCTTTTAAAACTTGCCTGCTATTTTTTTCATCACTAGGCTAGAGTACGTTTAATAGAAAATGTAACTTTTAGGCTCTGACAGAATTTTAATGGGAATGCGAAAACTCTGATCTTTGTAAAGGTTTATAAATGGAAGGCAAGAGACATATCCATGAATCATAGATTATTCCATTGCTAAATTTATGTCCTTCCCTCAAAGCATTAGAGAACTACAATTTCTCAAAGAAAAGGACATTAAAGTGCTTAATATGACTAAGGCTGTGTTTTCCCTGCACTTCACTTCTGGAAACGTTTTTACCAACTTGCAGGGACCTTCCTCGTCCCAGCTCGTCAGATATTGGCAATGAACAGTTTCTTCCCAAGTGACAAAATCTTGGCCAGGTTGTAAGCCCCTGCTAGGCAGCTTTAAAATAAACCTTGCCCTTCTGATTAGGGACCATTTTTAAAACATTCTCTAAATAGAGAGTTGAATCCACCTATTCAGTGTGTGAAACAAAAATTAGGAAACTTTTTTTTTTTTTTAAATTAAGATGCAGCCTGTTGTACTGCTCCTCAGGGGAAAAGATTCAGAAATGCCTAAGACATTTAGTAATGTTTGATGGAAGTTGAGTTCCAAAAGTCTGAATTCTCCAAGTTATTAAGATATAGCACTATGCAGATAGATGCTTAGCAGTATTTAATATATTAAATTCTGATGTGAATGCTTTGAAAATCCTACAAGGCACCTATCGTATGTTCAAAGCATCTGTAAATCCTTGGGGGATTGGGGAAATTCTTACTATCAAAACTTTCTTATCAACGATGTGAATTAGGCAGACTCTTAAAGATTTTAGGTCTATAAAATCCTAATGTTCTTTTATTATTGAAAGAAATAATTTCTGAAATCACTATTGATAGGTCAGAATTAAATAAAATACATACCCTGCAAATTCCAATAGCACCATATCAGTAAAAATGAAAAAAAAATAGTGATCAGACAAGAAAGTTAAGTTTTTGTATTTTTTGCTGTGTGTTGTGAGCCACCTACAAACACAAGTAACCTACAAACACCACTTTTTTTGCACCTTGGTGCCTCTTTTTAAAATGTCAACTTGCTGAGAATTTGAGAGAAAGTTAGCATCCTAAAATGAATAATGATATTTGATCAATGACTGATGTTCATTACATGTTATTGAGAGGTTTTAGAAACTTCTGACTGAAGCGCGTAGTTATTTATGCTAACTGGAATAATGTTATTTTTAAACTTTTCATGTTTTACCTTTCAGAAAAAGTATGGGCAAGCAGATGAAGACTGTAGGCATGGTATGCTTATTTCCTTTTTTATTACCTAGTGCTATAAATTGCAGTCAGTTGCCTGAATTTCAGAAACGGATGCCCAGATGTGCTGGTTTGCTAACAGTGACTTATTTTCCAGTTAAAATTGCGTGTTTGCTTTGCAATATGCCAACTTATTTTGCTTAAGGAGCTCTCACTGCTTTGTAAGTCATGTTCAAATACGTGAACTGAAACACAGCTGTCTTTGGCATAGGGGTGGCATTTGACTAATAGATAGTTTAGTGTGTAAGTGTAGGATGGATAGATAGTGTGGGATGATGGTGACGAGCAAGACAGCTGATTGTTCTCTCTTCTTTCCCAGGGACACGGGTAGGTATTTTGGGTTTGCCTTTTAGGTGTTGATTCAGGAAATAAAAGGGTTGATGTGCTTACATTCAACCCTGTTTGCTGAAGCCTTCATCTGTGCATCTGTCACATGGAAGTTGAGCCTTTCATGTTTTATTTCCTTGTTTGGTTGGGGTGTTTTAAAGGAATTAACCATCTTTGTTCCTGTTCTGTTATTTATTGTACAAATGATTCAGTCCTCAGGGAGAACCTTTTGCTGACTTTGGTAAGCACTGAATCAGAATTTATCAATTAGATTGTGAGAGAAGAGGTAGGTAGATCCCGCCTTTCAGTTTTTATTTTTTTATCCTTTTTTTTTTTTTTCTAGAAATTTCATCAAATCACAGTTTTGTTATAAGGGCTCTGCGATACAGGTACTATCGTGACATTCCTATGCAAGGAATCGTAACCTTAAACCATTGCTTTGTGGAGGAGTAATGTCCTCGTCCTCACTGATGTTCAAGCCATGATCTGGGGCTACGTGGGGCTCTGCAGGCTACTTGGGGAGGGTCCACAAACGTAGCTAAGAGAAGTAAACTGATTTTTGCAGGTATAAATTTCCTATGTGGAGGTCAGACTCAATTAACAAACGGTTAAAGTTAAAAACTCTGATACCCTTACTAGCTCCCAATCTTAACGCAGTCTGAGCTTTAAAGCAGCTTTAAAGCTGCTTGTTATTTTCATTGTTAATGAAATGGGTGTAATATCCTGATTAGCCTCATGGGTGTCTGCCGTAATGGCAAGTAATGATGAAGGAAGGGACATGTGGAAGGATGAGCAATGGGCAGAGGAGGCAGGGAGGAGTATTATCATTGATGAGAGCTGGAGGGGGTGCTGTGCAGGCAGATGAGTGCCCTTCATTCAGACTTGACTGTTTTTATCCTCTTGGCATATGTGTCAGATAGCAGTATCTTAAAAGAGCAGTATTTTTTTTTCCTTCTTTCACTGGGCATGCATAGAAGTGGGTGGAATAGGAGAACTGATGATACCTTTTTAATTTAAAAAAGCAGGGAAAGCAGCTTTGAGATGTTACTAACAAAAAAAGGAAGTAACCAGTTTAATTTTAATTCAGGGCAGCATATTGTGCAAATATATATATTTTCAAGTTCTAAAACTGAGGAAAAATTTTATCTTAATGCCGTAGGCATATAAAAATGATATGTATATATGTGTATATGCATGCACCGTACTTCTTGTGAATGCACAAATGAACAAGGTGACTGTGGCTACCATCTCGTGCTGTTGCCAGTTGTACCTCAGGTTAGGCTGTCTGCATTTATGATCCTGAAGGGTATCTGTTTTAGTCTGTCCTATTCTTGGAATATTCTTTGAAAGAAACTGAAAGACCGAGGGAGCTGGGCCTGTTCAGCCTGGAGAAGAGAAGGCTGAGAGGGGACCTGAGCAGTGTCTAGAAGTACCTCAAGGGAGGCAGTGAGGAGGATGGGGCCGGCCTCTTTTCACTGGTGGCCACCCACAGAACTAGAGGAAACGGCCAGAAACTGAAGCATCAAAAGTTCCACAGGAACTTAAAAATTTCTTGACAGTGAGGGTGCCAGAGCACTGGAACAGGCTGCCCAGAGAGGTTGTGGAGTCTCCTTCTCTGGAGATCTTCAAACCCGCTTGGACGCAGCCCTGTGCCACGTGCTCTAGGTGACCCTGCGTGTGCAGGGGTTGGACTAGATGATCTCTAGAGGTCCCTTCCAACCTTGGGCATTCTGTGATTCTATGAAATGATCCTAGTATGGTGTAGTGGAGTCCTTTGATACTTACAATTTTTTTAATAGATAAAGCTTTATTCACGCTACTGTCTTGTTAATGTGACAGGTTATCAACTTATGACAATGTTTTAATTTGACCTGAAAGATAAGTGTATCCTGAGATAATTCAAGAAATATGCATCCTTTACAGTATACTGTTTACACTGCTGGGAGCATAAGAGGTAATGACAACTTAGAATCTGTTAACTTATTCCATAAATACTTAGCCAATCATACATTTTTTTCGCTCAGTAATACTATGCAGTTAATGCTATGAAATATCACTGCAATTAATGATATGAAATACCGCATTAGGGTTTATGAACTTTGAGGTTAAAATAGCAGACTGTCAGACATCGAAACTGTGGAGTTGCTTTTTTTCTGCTCTGGGAAGTAGCTCTATTTCAGAACGTGGTCAGGGTCAGCAGAGTGGTGAATACAGGGTAATCATTGAGGCTCCTTGTAAATAGAGCCTAACTCCCACTCTAAGCTGAAGAAATGTCTGGTTGTTGCTGCGTAAATGTCCATGTGCGACTACTGTTTCTTTAGTGTTTCATGTAACGCCCGTTAATGATATGAATGTCTGTTGAGCAGGGAGTTTTGATTTATTATTTAAAATGTAATCCAGAAGCTCTGCTGAATGTAGAAGTCCTGTTAGCACTAACAGGAGCTGCATGCATCTGAGGTCTGCATGAGTGGCAGTATAAACACAGATGTTGACGTTGCCTGCAATAACAGTAATATATTTTATAATTTTGTACTTTTAACAACTGTCCAGGCTACTTTCAGCTCACATGCTTAGCTTTACTAGCTTCTTAATCACTCAGAAAGGCATTTCTTTTTTTGGACAGGTAATATATATGATGAAGTGTTGCTCCTTCTTGTCTGAAGCATGTCTGTGTCATGAAATAAATCCTTTCACTATTGGAAGTGTCAATGGAAGTGTCTGTCTGGCCAGGTATCTGAGCTGGTGCTAGAACACATTAGGAAAGTTTTCTGTTACATGGAGCTTGTAAATTCCTGGATTCAAACAATCGTGCCTATATCCTGCACTTCACAGCAAAAGTGAATAAAAGCCCTTTTAAAGGAGCAGCAATTGAGCACGAGAGGTTAGCTGTATTTGGAAACGCCAGGGAATGCTTTTTGTGAGCATGAATAGATCTTCCTGAGCATGATTGTGTTACTGAGGGGTTGTCGGTCACTATATTTTTTTCTGTGAAGAGGAGGTGCTTTGTGTCCATGCTAGATAACTCACTTTACCCTTCCCATATTATTTTTTTCTGTATTTTAGCATGTGAACATTACTCTAAATCTTTGAGCTCATGTATAACGTTTCTTAGATGATGGGAGATAAGTTTCAAGTAATATGAGATGTGATCAAGTAAAACGTCCTTTACATCTAAGCCTTGTCTTTTCAGAAAACTATGGATTCAGCCCAAGTTTCAGACATTATTTTTGTGTTAGAACTGGAAGAAAAACAAAAAACAAACGAATATCCCACAAACTGTAGAGTTTACTTAACTGTCTGCTGCGATGAAGCTAATGGTTGCTGATTTGTGTTGCAGTGCTGGGAGAGGGGCTGGCCAAGGGAGATGGATCTTTCCGTGCAGTGCTCTGCTGCATGCATCTTAAAGGGAAGCTGCAAATTGTGTCTAATGTTCTTTCCAAATCACTGATGGGTGAATCATTGGTAAGTGGGTTTGCTGCAATGTACATAACCTTTTTGTGTGTGTATGTATGTGTATAAAACAAACTTCTTCAAACTCCTGAACTGACAGGTTGCAACAAAAATCATTTGCATGGAAAAGACAAGGACAATATATAATATATAAAATATATAATCAGGGTACCTAGGGTGTTTTATTGCCAGTGTTTCTGGGTCAGTACAATCTTGAATTCCTTTTGGTTGTTGGCTCTGAATCCCCAAGGAATGCAAAGTATTTTTTGTACGCATGCAGTTTAGCAGAGTAGAGAAAAACAAACCTCAAACTTTTTCCTGCTCTTTTAGTTTGTGCTTGACACCATTCTGTATATACTTCACTAAGTTCAGCCCTTGAAGCAGAAAAATTGATGAGTCTATTAAATAAATGCTCCACAATAAGTTGTAATAAAGCATGAAGAGCTTTTCAGGAAAAAAAGCTTGCATTTCAAAGACAAAGTAAAGATTGGAGAATTCAAACCTTCTCTTTTACATTTGAGCTATCAAAATACTTAAAAATACTTTCACCCTCAGACATGTGAGGAACATACTGATTCTTATGTAACTACTCATATGGGCAGGATTAGGGACAAACACAAGTCTCCAAAGGAGACAGTCCTTTTTATTTCTGGAATCTGGGTTAAGTAGCGTGCAGTTCATCAGCACGAGCTGGTGGTGGTGCTGAGTCCAGAAACACCGTGCTGGCTTAAATAAGGAGTGATCTGCTCAAAGGACACACAAAGTGTGATGTCAAGAGCTCTTGTAGCTGCGTTAGGAAATAAAAGGAGGGAAAGTTTGTTTTAAAACATCTTGATGTGCAAGGGTTGCCTTATAATGTATATGATTGAAGATATATCATGTTTAGTGTTATTTCCATGTAGCTCAACTGTAATATTTCCATTGCAGTATGGTAGTTATGCTATTTTATTACTTATGGGAAGTAACTCTGTTAGTGTGGTGAAATCATGTTTCCTATATCTTTGTGCATAACTTAATCAGTAGACTATTTTTGAGACAACTTCTTTTTGCTTGTGTCTGATATGTATCCTGCACTTGATTTTTTTTTTCTCTTTCTTTCCTTCCTTCCTTCCTTCTTCTCCCACCTTTTGCCCCAAATGGGATATTTTTACATGAAAAGCTTTTTCTTTGTCTGGCTGATGTTTTCTAATGAAGAAGTTTCTAATCGAAAAATTCCTGGCCAGATTGAAGAAAACTTGCCCTCAAAAATTTAATAAAATAGCCTCAAACTCTTTATCATTGAATATGTGAAATGCCCTCATTTTAGACTGTTGTGCAAATAGAGGTGGCTCTTACGTAATTGCAGAGCCCTGACTAAGCAGAGCTTTGGGTTTCTTTACAGGCCACAGCTCATTAGAACAGCCTTTCTCCTGAGAAGTGAAAAAGCATTTTGAAAACAGCTATGTTAGATTTGAGTTTGTAAATTTTTATTA